TAACAGATCATGAGATTATCTGTTGGACTGTATCCCCAAAGTTATTTGTTCTTTGTTTCAACTCATGCTTTTAATTCTGTCAATTGCTATTCCAGTTACCCATTAGAAACAGCATAAAAGCTTTGTAATAGAACTTAACAGTCATTGAACAGGATATGTTAAAGATATTTTAATCAAATGGATAAAAGACTATGATTTAATAAGTTGACAACTATATGAACAACACAGTCACATACATGTATTAAATATAGAAAAACCCTGTATATTGTACCATGTTTACTTCCGGACTGAGAGAGAAGATTGGCTAATTTTGTTCTCTATTTTGTAAATTTTTACATTCCCAAAACATTTACAGTGAGCAATTACTAATTTACTATAAGGAAAATGATATCTTAATTTTAAATGAAACCATAAGTGTGACATGCATAGCACACACTCTCACACATAGTAGGTATTCAAAAAATATCAGATCCCTTCCCTATTCAGACAGCATCAAAGAAATGGGTAAAGGTTCATTCTGTTATCAATAAAAACATAAATTGTCTAGAAAACAACTGTACTCAAATATCTTACAGCCTTGGCTAAGAAGAACAGCATAAAACTTAGAGACAGGGGTGAGCCCTGGGCATGAAGAGCCTTCACAGGAGAAAGTTAAAATGACTCATTGATGCACTGGGGTCTAATTAAGCAAGTGAAGCATGAGGGTGATATCATCAAAAATTGTTCTAACGGTAGGGAAGCGATTATGGAAACTATTGCAATGGTCAAGTTCACTCATAATGAACACATGAATAAGAAACTGTGCATTAGCCACTGAAAGCAAAGTTTTATCTGGACCATATTTTTTTCAATGATAACAAGCAAAGTCAATGCTTACTCCAATTTGCTTTTTGAAGGAAAAGTGAAAGGTCAAGGTCTCAAGTGATCGTTAAGACTCCCAATAAAATTTTCTGTCAGACAAATATCATGGTCAAGTACCTATAGACAAACTGAGATTTTTTAAAAAAGTGACAAGTAATAATTTTGGCTTCACCGGGAACACATAGATAAACATAATGCAATACAAGCAATGCAAGCAAAAGAATAAATGCATATTTGTCTTTAACTCACACGTACATCTCACATCTCTGGGCTTTTCAGCTTTTCTATTTTCTGTTTTCTCATGGCACATCTCACTAATAAACTAATGGAGTGCAATAGTCAGAGGTAATATCCTTAGCAGAATATCATTCCATTTATTCATGTTTTTTTTTATTCATTTATTCGATATACATTTATTGAATTTTCATCTAAAAAATGGGAATGTAGTGTTGCAATTGCTGGAGATATGATAGGTAATTAAGCTAGACAAGTTTCCACACTCATAAACTGATATTCTAAAAGAGGGCAGATAGACAATAAATAAGTAACACAATTGGGCTGGAGTGGGATGCTGTTGATTTGACTCACACTGTGAGAAGGATGTGTATAGAAAATGCAGTGCTTCCCCTGCAGGGACACTTGAGAGCCCTGCTGGACTCAATGATGCTGCTGGGTGTTTGGTTTTGGTTTATTCCTTTGGCTTTAGGCAAGGCTTCTGGGTAATGAGGCCATTTTCTCTGGGTTGTCTTAATCTCCCTCGTCATCACTGGCTGTGGATCCTATGCCCCCCTTTCCTTTCTCCAACTTGTGCAGGAGCCTGGGGGTCTACCCTAGCCTCTGCTGTGGGCTGATTTTGTCCTTCTATGTTGAGTCTTAAATAAGGGGACTTTTTCATACAAGTACTGTGAGAGGTACAATGAGGCTCAACCTACAGGCCTCCATGATCAGGCTAGACTGTCAAGTTTATTTTGCTATGTCTTGAGCTGCTGTGGATATTGAGGGAGAAAATGCCAGGAGACCTTAATTATGCTATTTGCTGCTTGAAAACCAGGAGGTTCAACATAATAACTCTGAAATTTCTCCTCAGATTATCAATAAATTTAAGGGGTCTCAAATAAAAATAAGAGATATTTGAACTACAAAATCTGAATTTAAAGTTTATGTGGAAAAATAATCCAGTAAGAAGTATCCACAAAATTTCTGAAAATGAAGACGAATGTTGAAAGAGTAGCTCTACTACATTATAACACATTCTATAAAATTATAATGCTTTTTAAAATACTGTAATGTTGGGGCACCTGGGTGGCTCATTTGGTTGAGTGCCTGAATCTTGATTTCAGCTCAGGTGATGATCTCAGTGTTGTGGTATCGAGCTCCTGTCAAGCCCTGCATTGGACTCCATGCTCGGCACAGAGTCTGCTTGAGTTTCTCTCCCTCTGCCCCTCCCCCTACTCCACAGCTTTTATTTACTGTAGTTTTTTTTTTTTTTTTTTAACAATGCAGCATTCTGATTCAGCCCCTTTGTAGGTAATCCAGAATACTAGTGGTGGATCATTTTTGGTGATAGATTCATGGTGAATTCAATAATTGAAATATATTTAGTGCTTTACAAATGCACTTTTCTCATCTATAATTCAATCAAAGAAACAGTAATAATCAGGTAAAATGAGAGTTGGCATTGAACAACTGCATTATTCATTATTTCTCTAACATCAGCCTTTCACATCTGTTCTTGGTTGCATTGAATATAATGCATGAATGATACTTACTTTGATTAGTGTCTATTCTTTTTGCCTAAGGCTTCATCAAAACATTTGTCCAATATCAATATGAATTTCTCTCTAGCTCTTTCTTTTTGTTTTTACACAGAATTTAATCGTGCTCATCCACACACAGTTTAATTCTCTGAATCACCAGATCTTCTTGTCAAAAGTCCCAAATCCAGTGAAATAATAGATCATCAATTCCTATGGTGAAGAGACTGTATACATGAAGTAGTTTTAATTTAGAAGTTGGTTTCTGTTAGTGGGAGAGAGGAAGTTCCTTTATCTTTTTTAGTTACTGAGTTATGGTTGACATGTACACAAAGGCTGGCAAGAACAATGTTAAATGTGGAAATTTGGAGGCAAGGGATTGTTTTATTTCACTAATATTTTCCCTCCATAATTATGAATAATGAAAACTAATGTTATGCTATTAAAACAATAGTTTTAGCAATAATTTATAGTTTACCATATAATCATTTTCATAATTATTTTCTTTTTAATCTGGAAATCAAAAGTAACAATTTCATGTTCACAATAGCTTATGAACAAGGTAGCTATAAACTCCTATAATGGAAGAAAAGTTAAAAACAAAACTTTATTTTTATATAATTTTTATACATTTTATATATTATATACTTTTAAAAACTTTATTTATAATAACATATTGATAATTAAGATGTGAGTTTTGCATCTTCCATCATAGATTAATCAAATAAAATTCAGTCAGGCCACAAGAAAATCAAAATCTTTAATGATGATATGCAAATTAAAATATAGCTTCATAGAAATAACTTTTCTAGGACCAAAGTCAAAGTTCTGAAAATCTGAGGCAAGATAGTAGAAATTGGTTCTAAGTTGTCATAGGACAATAAGTTGTATGCTTATATTGAACATATTCATTCCTTTAACAATTTTTTTTTAGTATTTACTGTGTCCCAGGGCACAGCTCTAGGAGTAAAGGATACTGTGGCAACATGAAATCTAGTTTTGTAAAAAATATCTATTTCGATAAAAAATAATTGCCAACATTTATTTTTATTTATACATTAGAGCTATATCGTCTTAACGATACTAGTTAAACTGTATGGAGTGATTAATATAATTCAGGCACTGAACTGAGTATCTTACTTATATGAAAACTCCTCACAGCTCTTAGATGAGCAGGATTGTTTTGCTGATTTAAGATGAGAAAAGTGAATTTTGGAGAAATTAGATAATAGGATATATTTTGCCCAGTTAATCAGAGGAAAAACTTTTAATTTCAATCCCAAGTTATTTTCACATGAAATTATATAAATGCCTTCATTTTCAAAGTTAGCTATGGATTAATAAAGGGAATTGTTATTTGTTTTGTTTTTGATTCCTGATGAAATGTGAACCAATGTGACTCAATGTAGCAAGGTCCATGCTTTATTCAGTTTTCTATAAGAGCTGAATCCCCCTCTCCCCAAAAGAAAGTAACCAATTCTAATGCCTGTAGTCTTCTCCCTACTTCTTCCTACTTTTATAGTGCCTCTCTTTTTGCTAGGGGCTCTAACTGCACCTCTTCCTACTTATTTCTCCAAATGACATGTTTTGAAGGATATCATTTCTATTCTTGAAAGATTTTAGGCAAGTTATATAACCTGTTTCCAGCTTCTTCCTTCTCTGATCTGTGACTAGTTAAATTTGAATTTCAGATAAATAACAAATACTTTTTAAATATAATTATATCCCATACATTATAGCTAAACAATGCTGTATCTGAAATTTAAATTTCACTGGGCGTACTGTATTTTATAGGAATCCTAATCCTGTGGAATGTATATACAGAAGTGGACAAGCCTGTCTGGTCAGGTTGTCAGATGGAGGTTGTCCCTTCTGATGATCCCTGGGGAATTATCCTGGAGTTGTTCTTCATGAACCCATGTGGAATACCCCCTCTTAAACCAAATGTCTTAGACAAATTGATCTTAAGCGTGTGTGAAAGTTTTACTAACAACAGAACCAGCAAGAAGACTAAATTGTGAGATAATTTAACAAAAATTTTAGGGAAAGAACTTAAATACCCATGAAATAATTGCATAAGATCATGAGGATAGACTCAAGCTTTTAGTTTATATTGCAGGATAGGAAACTACCCCATCTTTATCATGATATGAGTTACCCTAGGTCATGACATGTGGGAGCCATCACCTGAGGTTGCCACCTCAGGCCACCTGTGGATCATTAATCAGAAATAATAAGCTCGGCGTGCGCGTGACCCTGGAAGGCCGCTGGCGGCGTGCGAGACGGCTGCAACGGCCACAGCACCAGTAGGCACTACGCCCAATGTGGGGCTCCAGCTCACACCTCTGAGATCAAGAGTCACATGCTCAACTTGCCAAACCAGCCAGATATATTTTTACCATCATGGATCGGTTTATAGATATATCAGAAGGTGAAGTGGACCATTCCTTCTTTGACAGTGACTTTGAAGAAGCAAAGAAATGTGAAAGTAACTTAGTTTTTGGCAAGCAAAATGATGACCCTAAAGGGAAAATAGATAAAGATACAGAAAATGTAAACTTGAAATTTGGAATACAAAGGAAGGAAAATGCATTAAGGGAGAAAATTACTCCAGAACACCACCCTGTAGAAAATGATAATATGCAAACCAGAAATTCTTTATCATTGACCACTTCAAGATCAAAAAAATTGTGGGATGCTACAACAGGGCATAAAATACACTTGCCCACTCCAAATAGAAGTCCCAAAATTATAAAAGAAGGTGAAGATGATTATTATACTGATGGAGAGGAAAGCAGTGATGATGGGAAAAAGCAACATGTCAGGTCCAAGTCAGCTAAACCATCTAATAACTTTAAAAAAAACATAAGTAAAAAGTATTCCAAAAGTAATTCCTCCTCCTCCTCTTCCTCTTTGTTCTCCTTATCTTCAAGTACAGGCACAGATTGTTCAGATGCAGGGTCTGATATCTGTATTTCTGATTCATCACCATCATTAAAGAAATGTCTATGTGGTGTAACCCACTTGTCATCAAAACAGAAATATAAACCAGGAATGAAATCAACAGGAATACAGCCTTCAGGTAAACCAAAAGTCAGTGACTACCATGAGAAATCTGAAGATACTGTGACAGATGTCACTCCTCTGTCAACTCCAGACATCAGCCCTGTTCAATCTTTTGAACTGGGAGCATCAAATGATCAAAAAGTAAAAGTTAAAAGGCGAGAAAATGTGAGTCAAGAAGTATATGGAAATGTTGAGGATTTAAAAAATAATTCAAAATCGTTGAAATCAACCAAAAAAGGGCAAGAAAAACATGGGCCTGATCTCACATCAAAATCTTCAGTGTTAGATTCCAGTTCAGACCACAGATATAAACAAAAAGCCTTACATGACACAATGGACCTCAATCATCTGTTGAAAGCATTTCTGCAATTAGATAAAAAAGGACCACAAAAACATCACTTTGATCAGCCTTCGGTAGCACCAAGGAAAAACTACTCTTTCACAAGAGAGGAAGTGAGACAGATAGGGAAAATCAGAGGCTTTTTTAAGAACTGCCAAGACAGGCTGAAAAATCAGGAAACAAAAGTACGATTCCTAGAAGATCGATTGTTCATCCCCCTAAGTTATATCATAGTGCCCTCAACAGACAGAGGGAACAACAAAGGATTGAAAGAGAAAATTTGGCTTTATTGAAAAGGCTTGAAGCTGTGAAGCCAACAGTTGGTATGAAACGCTCTGACCAACTGATGGACTATCATCACAATATGGGTTATCTCAGCTCATCACCGTTCTCAAGACAAGTGAGATCAATTCTTGGCCAGTATAGCCCATTAAGAGGAGCTTCTAGAACATCCAGTGCTACCAGTGGTCTCAGTTGTAAGAGTGAGTGACCAGTTTTTGACACGTCAAGTGGTCTGTTGCTAAGACCTAAGCCCCCTAATGTTCGTATAGCTTGGTTATAAAAACTTTTTGCTTTAAGCATTGTTCATCCAGTTCTTATTGAAGTGCTCTTGTACATTACTACAGTTCTCTGTGTAAACATCTCTAATTTAAGATATACAACAATGAGTTGTAATTTTATTATAATTCAGTGCAAAATTGTTCTCAAAAAGACAATGTAAAATCAGTGTTTCCTATGAGGATGTGTTTCTATGAGATGTATATGTATTTGATAGAGAAATGGTAGTGTGCATGTATATTTTCTCAACATAGAAATTGATTCAGCTCTTACATTGATGAAACAGTTGTGATAATATCACTATAGCACATCGGACCCAAGATGTTAACGATATTGTTCTTGTTTTATGTGGTTTTTTAGAAGCTTTAAACCATGAGCATAGCTCCTAAATTTGACTTTTTCTCTTTGCTCCAGAATTTAGGTGGTATAACTCATAATTTGATTGTAAGATTTGATTGTACACTTTCTTATTATGAAACAGAACTTGAACTTGTTTTCATTGGGGGAGCTGATTTAGATTTGGTGAGCAGATTGAGAGAGGCTTGTGCTAGGGCAGTCCTTGGGATTCACCAAAGGCGTCTACTACCTCTGTATAAGTGTGCTGAGTTAGATCTTAAAAATGTGATCAACCATTCCAGACCATTTCAAACTGTGAGTATTAGGAAGTTCAACTTGGAAGGCCCTCTTCCATATTCTTACACATTGAGGTAAAATACCACTGATGATTCTGAAAAATGAGGTAGACTTTAGAGCTACAGTCCACTACATTGTGAATAGGTTGTCCAAGGACCAGATATGACCATAAGCAAATAGTTGTTGAGCAAAATAGCACCACCAGTTTGAGGAGCCAAGAAGCAGATCCTCAGTTGTGTCAGAACAGTGTTTTAAGTGATGACAAGTTGTGTTATGTTTAGTGTTTGCTGTATTAAGAGAGAAGATAAGAAATGCATGGTCTTGAAGCTTTAGAAATTCCAACTACAGTTTTTAAGAGCTGAGAAAGAAAACTAAAATATAAATTGTAAAGGAGAAATATCACACATTTGTTGAGGCTACTTTAAATGTCATCTAATATTCTTGTATTGGTTGGTTTGGGCTTTTGGGTTGAATCCTGGAAGTACCATTTTTTACAGTGCCACTTTTGAAATCCTAGTAATCTTAATGGAATTAGTAATGGCAAATAGGGTGTCTATAGTTGACTTTTGAAATTAGAATATTTTTCTGTCAACCTGTGGACTCTCATTTCATAGAACAAAGTGTATCTCAGTTGTGGGTGCTTCTGCTGTCTTGGTCATCATTGTTTCATTACTGGCCTTTTCAGTATACCTTTGGAATGTACTGGAAAGTTTCCATTTTAAATGCCAAATCTTTCTTTTTTTAAAACAAATTCTTGATATGTAGCCACAATAATATTTGTTGTTTATTTTTGCAGGTTAGCTCAAGCTCTGTAGCATGTTTTCCTGAACTTATTTTTCTTACCACCTTGGGCAGTAAGCCAAACTGCATTTTGCTAAATTATCAATTCAGAATTTCTTGGTATTAAGTTGGTATTGATGGATTTTTGTCTAGGATAGGGCCTGTGAAGTGTGGGAACAGTGGTGTTAAAAAAAAATTCACATGAACGCTACCTGACTGTGAGATTTTTCTGCTGCTTTCTTTGGGCTGTAATGTTCGTTCATTGTTATTTGATGCTCTGTTCTGGTGACCAGGTTCTTAGATCATTTAGTGCTCTGCTTTATTTATTAATTTTAGTTATACTAAACCAAGGGTATTTTGTTTTGTTGTGTTTTTAGCTTATTGCACTTTTAATGTTTGTATAACAACTTATCTTTACAAAGAGTTAAGATAATGCTGAATTTAAAACTCAGCATTTGGACACCTGCCTGATATTGTAAGCCAGTTTTTAAAAATTGAGTTTTAAGTTGTTAGGAAAAATATATGTATATATGAAACCTTTAAAACCTTTACATTCATAATGACATTAGTCTCTGAATATATTTTATATGGCCTTTGCTGTCCTATGTCCGGATACAACACATAATTTTATAGATAAAGCTAAAAATTTGATTTGATTTTATTTATTTTTTTTGCATTTTTTTAATTTTTTTTTTTTTAGATTTTTTTTTCTTTTTTTCAGATTTTTTTTTTATTATTTATTTATTCATTAGAGACAGAGAGAGAGAGGCAGAGGGAGAAGCAGGCTCCCAAGGAGCAGGGAGCCCGATGCGGGACTCGATCCCAGGACCCTGAGATCATGACCTGAGCCGAAGGCAGACGCTTAACCATCTGAGCCACCCAGGCGCCCAAAAATTTGATTTTAGATACTAATTCAATGCCTTTAGTTTTTACTGCTTTGGCAAGGGAGGTTAAGTATTGCTGATAGCAGGGATTCAACTTGAAGTAAGCATTGGGAAGAGCAACAATATTCATCTTTTCAAGGCAGAATTTATAATTCTGTTGTCGTTATTATTCCTATATGACAAATAAAAATAGAAGGATAGGAGTTGAATATGCTATTCTCTGATAAAAGTCAAGGTACTTTGAAGTTATTATGGTTTAGGGACACTTTTACGAAGGAATCCTAAGTATACTATTTTCATTTTCAAGAATTTACAAAAAGGTAAAGGATCATCTAGCACTATTACATATTTGGTTCACTTGGACCTAATACATATATTCTTTGAAGATTTACATCTGCAACTAGAAATTATACTAATCCAAGATCTAATATTATTAGGCAAGATTCTTACTGAGAATTATTCTCGTATCTGTCAAATGTTAAACTAATGTTGCCTCCTAAATTTTAATAAGATTTTATGAAAGATTTGAACTATTAAGATTACTTCCTAAGGGATAGCTGTTATCTCACACTTTGCCTACTTTTTTTCAATCTCCATTAAAAAGCTGCATTCTCAAAAAAAAAATTAAAAATTAAAAAAATTAAAATAAATAAAAATAAAAAGCTGCAGTCTCCAAATAAAATTTTTCTGGTTTGCTTATAAATGTAGTGTAATGCAGTTTTCAAACCATTAACCCAATGTCCAAAATGGATATCTAGACAACTTTAAAAAGAGGTCATTGTGATGCTTGTGTGCTTCTCATCTTCAGATTCAAATACTGCACACTATGAAAAGTATTATGACCAATATAAAGTTGGAGACACAAGTTGAATTTATTTTAATTAAATTCATAAAATGTCTAATATCTTAAATGCCAAAATCTCAACCGATACGTGATTGTATACCATCCTAAAAAATGTTCTTAATGGTAATGGCTACTTTATTTCCATGAATAAATTAGTAATAAATTTAAAAATCAACATCTTTTTTTAATCCCCCCCCAAAAAAAGAAATAATAAGCTTATGAATCTGTGGCTCTTTTTTTTTTTAAAGATTTATTTATTTATTTGAGAGAGCGAGAACGAGAGAGAGAGAGTACATGAGAGGGGGGAGGGTTAGAGGGAGAAGCAGGCTCCTTGCTGAGCAGGGAGCCCGATGCGGGACTCGATCCAGGGACTCGATCCAGGGACTCGATCCAGGGACTCGATCCAGGGACTCCAGGATCATGACCTGAGCCGAAGGCAGTCGCTTAACCAACTGAGCCACCCAGGCGCCCCAGTCTGTGGCTCTTAATAAACTGTAGTAAGCAACAAATAATACAGAACACATCTGTGGCTGCTGATCAGAGATACTGAGCAAGAAAATTTTATTTTTTAGCAGTGTCAGATAAGGGCTAACTAGTAAAGACACCAGTTACAAATTTCTTTCTTCCTTTTTTTTTTTCCCTCTAAGGAACTATCAGAAAATTCTCAAACCTAATAAAAATTACCAAGTCACATATCTTGCTGTTTCTCAGGTTTGAAAAAAGAATTTTAGGGATGCCTGGGTGGCTCTGTCAGTTGAGCCTCTGCCTTTGGCTCAGGTCATGATCCTAGGATACCTCATCAGGCTCCCTGCTATTAGGGAGTCTTCTTCTCTATCTGCCTGCCACTCTCCCTGCTTGTGAGCATGCTCTTTCTCTGACAAATAAGGAAATAAAATCTTAAAAAAAAAAAAGGAAAGAAAGAAAAAAGGATTTTAATATTCACTAGTGAACAGTAATACAAGTTGAAATATTTATTACCTTAAGCATCCTGGAATTGTACCAAAGTTGTATGGTCCTGGGCAAAGATGAGTAGACAGGTTAGGCCTGGGTCTACCTTGTTTGTACCCATAAGAGACAAAGGCCTTAAGTCTTCAGGATAAGACCTACATGCATGCTTCCTCACTCTTAATTCTTCCTTATTCTTTCTCTTTAAACATTTCCCTCCCTTTAGGACCTGTCTATCTATAGTATTCTTGCTACCAGTTCTGGGTATCATTTCTCTAAAGAGTCTTAAAGCCTTTGGTTCCTTCTTTTTGCTAGCAAATGTTACCAATTTTACAATGCTTCCTTTTCTGTATAGTTTTTGTATCTTTGGTTATGATGTGTAAAGGTGACCTCCATTTCTGAGGATAGTATCGGAGAGAAAAGTATCAATAATGTCTCTAATATTATCAACAAACATCTCATTTGTCTCTTTTCTTTGAACATGAATTGCTCTTTATACTCTGGGGTTCGTCTCCAAATAATAGAAGTTTCTGCCAACCAAACACATTATTTAACAATCATGTGAAAGAGATTTTTTTTGGGAACAGACTGAGAGGTGAAAATCCTGTAGATTATGTTCTAAGCAAGTTGCTTGCTAGCAGAGAAGAAAAGACAAAGAAGTCAGTGGATTTCTTTCAAGGTGTCCTCTCTTTCTATTACTAAGAGCCAAGGGAAATAGAAACACATTTTAGCCTTAATCATTTCATTTTGTTGTAATTGCAAAGTGTTTTATTCTTTTTCACAAGGCAAGTGTGTGATAAATTATTAATTCAAATTACATATTAACATGTGCAGGACACTCTGGGGTTGGAATAGAAATAGTGATAAGTTTGAATAATTTCTTGAGTTGGGGTAAAAACATGAGGAGATTGGGAATTAAAAATAAAAATCTAAACTATATAGCCACGATGATACATTTTGATGCACA